CCCCAAAACCCCAAAACCCCAAAACCCCAACCACAAAAAACACATATAAAATTGATAATAATTATTAAATCAATTTAAATTACTTAAATTATATAAAAAGCAATATTATGCAGATATTTTTGTATATTCAAGATTTTAAGTTATCTTGAAACTTTTCGTCCTCCATATTTGAATTATTATTGCTGCTGATTTCAATGTTGGCAATTGAATTGTAAAGGCCAGTTTTATTTCTTTTGTAAACAGAGTCAAACTTGCTTTATTCTGTTATTTAAGAGTCCAATATGTTCAATTTGAGATAAGGTGATTAATTTTTAAGAGGGCTATTAATGTAGTCGATTTCCTTTTATAATACTTATACCGGAGGCAATAAAGCTTTGAGGTTTAAGGGAGATACAACTAATTTTCTTGTTTGCTGAAATTCAGAAAGTAGAGGATTGGGATTTTAGATATCTATGACTTTTCGAGGAGAAATTCTATCAATGATTTATCTAGGAGAAATTTATCCTTCATCATACACTTTCAACTCTTCCTTTTAATTTTCAGTAAATTTTCTCTCACCATCACTCATTATTTTGATTGTTACAGTTTTTGGGGAGTGGTCTTATTTTTGAATTAAAGATTTTTTGTCATTCTTTGATGTATTTTATCCTCGTTTTGATTTAACTGTATAAACCTTTGAAACATACTCCTCTGTCTCAGAGTCACTGAAAATTTATTTAATGTTTCTAGATTATATCTTGTGAGCTCCTGCTTTAATCTTCTATGGTGCTAATTATTATGTCAAATTTTCTATTCTTATATTACTCTGATCAACTGTGATTTTTTTAATTTTTTCACCATCTCCATCAAAAGTTACCAATTACTAATTAATTAGCTAATATTTGTCAAATGACTCCAAAATATCTAAATCTTCCTTTTCTTTGAAAACAATTTCCTAATTTCCATCTCTTTAGCCCCTTTACTAATTACGAACAGTTCTCTATTAGCCAATTTGTCTTAAAGATAATCCTTTAAAATTGGATTAAATATTTTCACTCTAAACTTAAAATTTGGGTTCATCTCGATAACAGTCCTTTGATGATATTTCTCCAAATAAGGATTTATCTTATGTCTATTCTGGATCAAATTTTTTCTCTCTTTGATCTTAAGAATATTTTAATACTGGGCTTGAAAGTTCTTATTATTAATCTGAAGAGACTTTATCACTTTTCATTGTTTATTTTTTATTTATCGATATTGGAACTGGTAAATATTCCTTTAAAGGTATATTTATATTAATTTTACTACTAATCTTTTTATTCCTAGTCTTCCCTCTAAGGCTTGTGTTTTGTCTTCTATATAATTCTTGCTGGTTATTAGTCCCGTCAAAATTAGTTTCATCTAATTTAGAATCGTCCTTAGTTTTGTTAGTTTCTCTATTATCGATTATCTTCTCAAATGCATTTTAGCTTTTAGATATCTTTTAATCCTTCTTATTCTGCAATATTGATTATTTTTTTGATTTATGGCCAATAATCCCATCAGTTTTAACTGTTCTTTGGCTATTACTTTTAACATAGTCACTAACAGCCTAACTCTTTTTACTTTTAAAGCTACTCTTATCTTAACCCAACTAGCTTTAGTTCAAGTATGATTCATCATCCATTCCCACCATTGAGAATTAATCTGCTTAATTTTCTGATTTGAGGCCTTTCTTTATCTTAACAAAGCAAAATATGTACTTCCTTAGTAAATATTCAATTTTATCAGAAAAATTTTAAAACATTTGTCTTAGCCACTATACCCAGAAAATTAGATTCAAGAGTACTATCAAAATGAAAAAAATCATTGACATCGAAGCAGGAAATTCATTATTGATAAAGAATAGACCTCCATAAAATGTTGAAAACTATAGTTTAGTGGGTAAATAATCAGGAAGAATTACAGCTGCAATATTTGAAAGGAACTCAAGATTATTGATTTAGTCAGTTTGATATGGCTTTACTTTTTGTAATATTTCGATGTATACAATAAGTACCATAAATCCTATTAAAGCCTAGAGAGTGTAAGTTTAATGATTAAATGCTTACTCTGTAAAGTGGCTTAAATGAGGAAAAGAAAACATTTATGCTTATCATTATGACTTTCCTAAAATGTATCAGTATTTCCCAATAAAAGGCTTCGGTATTTAACCCAACATATAAAAATCCGTATTTTTGGATATTTACTGCTTCATTTAATTGCAACCTTCTATTGTACAAAATTATCTAAAATATTAATCATAAAATGAGAAAGAGTTTACATATCCAATTACAGGAAGACCTATTATCCAAATGACTAAGATAGGAACTCCAAAAGATTTTGCATAAAATAAATGATCGCCTTCCCAGCATTATAAACTGTAATCACTTACTAAGTATTTCTTTCCATCTTTAAAAATATCGGTGCAATTAAATATTTGAAAGCATAAGGATGTGATTGGGGAAATACATACAAAAATGAGTACAATTAGAGAAACAATCATGTTATTGAAGTAATTTTTTAATTTTGCTAGTTTTCCAACCATATACCACAATAAACTAATAAGGATAATGCATCCTAGTGGGAATAGACATGCAAGAATTATTTTCACATATAGTGGATGTACATCTGCGACTGTATCTCTTATGAAGCAATCTTATGAGATGACTTAGTCAGATGCTTACGCTATAAATGAAATAGACTCAAGGAAACTCTTTAAATGAGTCTACCATGAAAGATCATATGATTATGCAAGGGTTAATATTTAGAAATAATTTGTTATTATCCTCATATATACTGTTGTTAGCTTTTGTTAGCCTGCTGTTTTTATATTGACAATTATAAGAATGAGAAAGTATACTATAATTAGTATAGACACACCTACAATTCTGAGGGAATTAACTGTAAAATCAAGGCATTTTGCGCAAGAATTAGGATCATTCCTAGAATACCATTGATTCTGATATATTACACATGATTAACAAAGATTTCCACCATAGCCAGCTGCGCAGGTTGGCTCATAATTTGATATACAGGCTAAAGCATTTGGACATTAATGAACAAGTATATCTTCAGTATTTTTTCTCCAAAATCCATCTTAAGTAATAATTTTATAACCTTCTTGGCAAATTGCGTTACTTGGACATTCACTGCAATTCTTTTAATTTGACAATAGTTGATAAAATCCTTCTGAACAAACTGAACATTTATTATCTGGAGTTTGGTATTCTCCTCTTTCACATAGTCTCATTTTAGCATATATTTATATGTCTTGGACATCTCTACCTAGAACAGTTCTTAATTTAACCTTATCTATTGAATCTACTACTATGCTCAGAGTAATATTTGACCCTGGTTTTGCAATTATAATCACATCATCAAAGTTAAATACTCCATCTTATGCCTGAACAGTTTTTGACTTTAAAATCTGAATATCACTATTAGAGCTTGAGCTTAAAGTTGCCTATGATTAGCTGTCAGTTAAAATTTAGTCTCCATTTCTATCAATTAAGGAAAACTTAAATTTAGCCTCTATTAGATCTCCACTTACTAGACTTGTTGTTAGATTAAATTGTGAATCGAAATCACTTTCTTCAATAGATGCCCTACTTACTTTAGATTTTAAAGGGATATAAGGTAATAAATCTCCTGACACTAATTTAAGTGTAACTGGATACGATCCTTCTATTTACCCATACAAAGCTGAATTATTCACAAAGGTATTATTATCAGTATAATCTGGCTAATAATAAGTGAATTTAATGACAGCTCCATCAAGACCAGCAGTATTATTTGTAAAATCTGAATTACTAATCTAATATTTGCAAACATTAAAATAATCTGATTCACAGTCAAGGTACATAACTCCTCCACTATTTTACAAAGCCTTACTGTTGATGAACTAAGAGTTATTAATATATACATTAGTGTTTTTACTCAGCAAAACACCGCCAATGGTTCGAGCGGAATTGTTGTAAAAGTAGCTGTTTTAGATTATCAATGAATTTTCATAGGGATACTGAAATTCAGACTTAATATTAACTATAGGAGAGCTTTAATTCGTTGATATATTGTAAAAGCTTGATTAATTGAGAGTTAAATTGGAATCAATAGCCTAAAACACTATCGAGTTTTCAATGATGTAAGGAGCATCTGACCTTTTGGAAAATGAATAGTTAGTAACTGTTATTTGCTCAAATTTATAATGCCCATTTTTACTCATAAAAATAGATCTATCAAAGTTTGATATAGAAATATTAAAGGCGGAACAATTATCTGCATCTTAAGAAATTAAAGGTGAGGTATAGTATTATGTTATATTGTTTATTATGCCATTCTTCAGCAACACATTAGTATTATCCATTTAAATTAATGTCCTTGAATAGTCTGAATTGATAATATCCTTTAATTAGAATTATTCAAGAGCAAGCTAAGACTCGCTAGAATAAATTATAAGTGAATTCATTTATCTAATCCTTAAACCCCTTGCAATCAATTTGGAAGAACTTTCCAAGTTTAAAAAATATTACTAAGAACTCTAGGTTTATTATTTAAAATCCCAAATTGATACATTCATGAGTTATATTGTGGTAAAGACAAATTGCATAAACTTTCCAGTTGATGAAATATTGCTGATAGTTAAATTTATCAATACAATAACAGATTCTGTTGACCCTTATATCAATTAATCATTCTATGTTATGATGGAGTTTGAAATATTTAGATGAGATCGAATACTTTGAAAAGCATTATCAGATTTTTCATTGATAGTTCTTTAGACCTTCTATGAAATTGTTTAAAGATACAAGAAATATTCTTTTTAAATGTGCTTGAAATTTTCTTTTATACCAAGAATATCACTTTTCTTTACGATTGAATTTTACTGATCATTTTAAGTAATCTCTACATCATCAATAATACTATCAACTATTGAATTAATTTGGAATAATATGCATGTATTTATTGCCTGGTTTCTTTTTATTGTACTTTTTTAGTTTATTAATAGTATGCCATCATTATTAACATAACCCACTCCACCGATAGCTGCAAAGTTTTCATTGATTAGGGAATTTTATACTTCTATAGTTGTAAGATATGATACATAAAATACGCCACCCATATAAGCATAATTTCTAGTGAAATTGCAATTTTTGAACAAAGAATAAGCCTTTTAATAATCTCCAAATATTACTGAGCCTCTGCCTAATGAGAAGTTTTCTAGAAAATTACTATTATTAACTTAGAGAAAGGTGTTTGTTTATATTTGAATAATTGCATCATTAATTCCATTATTCTTCGAAAATTCTGAGTTAGATATATAAATAGGTAGATTATTGAGATTATCAGTAATGGTTGGACTTATTAGCATAAACTATCCCTTATTTTAACTTATATTAGAATTCTAGAAAAATATCGCATTTAAGTTGGAAATTATAGAAAAAATCTAACCTATTACAAGAGTATTAAGCTGAATATCTAAGTTTGTAATATTTATAAATAAATAATAGTACTAGAGTGTTCCAAAGGATACCAAACTATCCTTTTTTTATAATGAGTTATTGTATATTTTGATGTCATTAAGTTTGATCTCAATTAAATCCGAAAGAAACTTGTTAGTAAATGTGATTTAGGACATTTGCAGAAAACCAAGACTTGAATTTGCAAACGTTACGTTAAATAAAAGATAATTGCTGAAACCATTATTTAGATTAAGTGTTGGCATACTTACAGCAAAATATTGTTTATCTGATTATTTTTGAATATCTATTATTCTATTGTTTGAAAAGTTAAACTTTTAAATTTAGTTGAGAAGCATCAAATTATTGTATTTAACAGTGTTTTTCATGAAATGACAATCTACTAATTCCAATTATTTCGCTAAATCGATTTAAAGCGCATTGCCATAGATTAAATTAGAATTTAAAACCCTGAATTTAGTTATGCTTATAAACTAATTTGATTGCTATATTCTCATAAAGGAAAGACCAGAAGTTATACGGTTAGAATTTGAGGTACTATTAATAGTGAAGTTGCTTATGTATAAATTTAAAGCAGACTAAACAGTATATAAATTATCTATAACTCCACCTTAAACTGATTCATTAAATATTGTAACGTTTGATGTATCCCCTAGAATGCTAATTAATCTACTGCTTGGTGCAAATGATAAATTGTTGTATTAGTTGTTTGATATGGTAAGATTGGAAGCAACTTGTATCTAAATTGTGATGAATTATGTATTCACTATAAAAATTAGATTGATGTATGTAACTTACATTCAGAATCCTTAAAAATATTGTTTTACAGTTCGTAAACTCTCGTTGTTTTTGTAGCACTCAAATAATTTATAACGATAGCTAGGTTGCTATCTTTGAGATTGATAAATTTATTGTTTGATATCACAATTCTTTAAGTACGTCCAGTAATGTCACATATAGCAGAAGGTGCTATACCCAGAAATGGTCTAGTAGCTTGATTGATAAAACTACAATTATCAAATGTATTATTTCTGAAAATAAGATCATCAAAATTTTAGTATAATAGAAATTATGCAGTTGCTTGCTAATGTCTCCCAAAGAAATAGTTATTTTCAAAAATCATATAATTCTTAGCTGTTAACTAAGCAGGTGTTGTACATGTCCATGTTTAGTCATACCAAAATCCACTGTATAGATTAGTAAGGTTAAAGGCTGTATTGTTGATGTTTATAATGATAGGATTGAATTAATTCAATATTCTTCCATCAACATCTATCAGACAGTTAGTAAAGTTCATTTGATTGTTCATGTTATCAAATGTATTTATCATATAATTAAATAGTTGATCCCCTAACATAATTGACTAAAAATGAATATCTTAATATTGGAAATTTGTTCTATATATACCTATTCTATAGATAGGCTAAGTGGACTCAACAATTGTCCAATCATTATTGGCTAATCTAATGTTAAAGTTAAAATTGCTTTCTGCGATTGTATATAATGTAGAATCTGGTAATAAATATGGAATAGTAGTAATATATAACTTTGGCCTTGGCAAATATACATCACCATAAGATTTTAATACTATACTCTTAATGTTTAGCATATAAATTGGCTAGTTAACATGATGAAGTTTGTAAGAGGTATTTCGTTTTAGATAAATAAAAACCTCGGTCGTTTTATCATACATAAAGTTAAAAAGCTCTTTGTATGGGTAGTCTAAGTTTTTAAAAGGGTATTCAATAGTCCCTAATTCGATGTATTTTGTTGATTCAGAATCCACATAATATTGATATTTAAATGGCTCTTAATTAAGATAAGGTCTACAATATTAAGTATTCAACCCAGGGTTACTCAAAGTGTTTACTGAAATAATTGGTTTGGTATTAGCTGGGCATTAAGCTACACATTTGTAGTTATTTAGATCTAAGAAATAGCCTGGCTTGCATTAGTTGCAAAATTCAAAAAATCCATACATAGAGCAAAGTTAGCAACTTTAATCTTAGCAACTGCTGCAAGTACTCTTTGTATTCATTAAACCCGAGTTGCATTAGAATTTGCATTACCCAGATGAATCTAAGTTTTAGAATGAATTTGGACAAGTACTGTATGACAAACATTAATATTCATTATTGCATGTCTAGCATTTATCAAGACATTCTATTTGTAAACTTTATTGATATACTTTTTCTTACATGAGCACATAGGCGAGGTTATAGATTAATAATACTACTTTTAAGGACATTGACAAAGACCTGTGTCTTAATTAATAGTCATTGTAGGCACAAGGCAATTTGTACATTTATTTTCATTTGTACAGCTTGAGCAGCCAGTAGGACAATCTATTTATGAAATTAAAAATTATATTATTACTTGAGCATATTTTAAGAATTGTATCAAAATACTGATTTGAGGCACAACTTAATTTTTATGATTAAATGAAGCAAAAAGTGTCGTCTAAATCAAATCTCTCAGTGGGTAGTCCTGTGAACTTAATCATATCATATCCAGAATATATATTGTTTTAAAAATCACAAAATTTAGTCTCAATTACATATTTAGAGACATCAATAGAACTGGTAAAAGTTGCACTATTTATCTAAAACATTTGAGATTAGGAATTTTTGAATTCAATGTCTTTTATTGAAAACAAGCTGAAATCTTTTGTAACTTAAATATTGCTTAAGCTGAAAATAAATCTTGTCTCTATAAAGCACTTAAGTTTAAATAATGTTACAATTTTATGGAGAGCTTATCTTGTTAATACTTGACTCATAGACCAGAAACTTTTAGGTTTTTTTGATTATAATAGGATCTTGATTTTAAAGCGAAAGATTAGTGATTTTAAGATTTTTAATCTAAAAATCGGATATTCCATCAGCCATTATCAAAGGATAGCAGAGCAGAGAACTGTTTTGTATTATCAAAGAATCTACATTTAATGATTTTTTAGTATTCTAAATGTTTATCAAAGCTTTACTTAACTACGTTGAATCTTGGTTGAATATATTTAGAAATCTCATTTCACTTAACTCAATATTGTTAGCATTTGATATCTTTAAAAAATCCTTCAATAGGGAATCTGTAATATTATTCTTTAGTAAAGTCATATTCCCAGACTTTAAATCAAAATTTAAGAGAGCATAATCCGAACAGTTGATACTATTGAATTAATTATTTTAAAGACTAAATTTTGAGTCAGAACTAGTGCTTTAATTTATTTAAAGATAATCAGATGAGCCTAAAAAGTTAATATTTATAGTGTTTACTTTTAACCTTCGAGAAATTGGATGAAGTAAATTCAAAATATAGCTATTCTTTTTAGTCATACAGATATTCAAATTAAAAAATCCATCTCATATTATTGTCTTTTAAATCTAGACTAGTTAATTCTATGATCTGAGGTTAAAGTCTGGGTTTTTAGCATTAGATATCTTTTAATTATATTTTGTGTCCTTAGTACATTTGTAGGAATTCTGAATTCTTAATCTTCAGATCATAATTTGATTCTAGATTTAATAGATACTTATTCTATTTGCTTGCATCATCTACAGTTTAACCTGAACCTTGCTAACTATCTATGAATTTGGAATTCCAAATTTATACTTGGCCCATTTAATTTTCATTGGCACACCCATTTTCCGAATCATATGTTAAGTTAAATAACGTATTAGTATTGATGGTGTAGAATGTGCAATTTATGATTGTTAAAATAATCGGCATCTAGCTAATTAATAAATTTCCACTGATATTAAATATGGAATCTATCAGAGTAACATGAATATTCTGAACATATGTCTATTTATCAACTGAGATTAGGTATTCATCTTATTGAAGAAAGTCTTTCAAAATTAGTATGCTTTATTATTAAATAGTAAAATTTTTTCCTTAAATTACTGTCTTTTCCATGCTACTTTATAATCTTCTATTTTTGACAACTACATCTTGATAATCTTTAAATTATTCATTTTGAATGATGTTGGAATTTTTAAGATCTGTTTATTGTTTAAGTTAGAAAATTTACATCTGTCATTTGAATCAAAATTCTGCTAAGCAATATTTTATGCTAAGTTTGAATCATGTATTTTGAATTGCTGCGTTGTTATTTCTATTTAAGTCTCAGACTGGCACTCTTCATAATACTAGCATTCTTGGCAAGAATCACAATCTATATTTTGTTAATAAATACTTTTTGCTTTGCTTTACCTTCACATTTTTAAGTATCAAAACTCAAGTATTAGCCCTATGCGCATTTCTTATCTTTTAATTGGACAATTGATTAGAATATTGTATTTGATTTCTCATTCTTAGTTTCAGTCGCCTCATAATTTTTTTTGAAATGTAAATTTTGAAATGTCTATGAATTTAGAAATGATGATGGCCGCTCTAGCTGAAAGTTTTGATACGTTTCTCTAATAAGAGCTGGACTCATTATGCTTAAGCTTCCTGAATAAATCTCAATTGCTACAAGCAAACATATCTTAAAACTAGATTAATATTTTTAATTTTACTGGTTGTACTCATTTGACACCAATTCCTGCTTTTATGTGGAAAGTTGCCGTTAATTTAAGTAGGCTCCCAAGCAAATAAAATATATTAGTATCCATAGTAAAATACTTCATTTTTTCAATAACCAATAATTTAATAATTTTTAGCCTTCAATTAAAAATTTCTCCATTCATTTCACTAATTTCCATAATTTTATATTCACGGGGTTTTGGGGTTTTGGGGTTTTGGGGTTTTGGGGTTTTGGGG